CCAAAAATCGCACCTCTAACCCATAAACACCAACCCGAAACCAAACGGGTTTTAGGGTTTCGCTTATGGTGGTTTAGGGGTGGTGTTTATGGGTTAGGGGTGCCGGTTTTTGGGTGGGGGAAGGGGAGGTGGGGTCGATTCAAGGTGGGGGAAGGGGAGGGGGGCCGATTCCGGTGGGGGGGATGGGGAGGGAGGGTGTTTTCCAGTTTCGGGTGGGGGGAGGGGGGGTGGGTTGCGCTGGTGGGGAAAGGGATTGGGGTGGGGTCGCCGGCGCCGGCCAAAACGTTGGGCGCCGGTCGCCGGCAGGGGGGAGGGAGGAGGGTGGTGGGCTGCAAAGGTGGAGGAAAGGGAGGGGGGAGGGTGGCTGGGTTTTTCTTTTTTTTAAAAAAACATTTTTATTTATTTATTTTTTTTTTTTGAATAAACTTAACGGAATCCTAACGGATTCCGTCAAGTTGTAGCAATTTTTAACAACTGTGATTTAGGTGGTAGTAAAATAAAAAAAATAAAATAAAATTGGAGGGGTAGCAAAACTGAGGTGCATGCCTTTTGGTGGTAGCAAAATTGAAAAAGTCCTTATAATTAGTGATTATATTGTGCTCACGCTAATTTTTGTTGGGAAATTAAATTATTGGATTAGTATTCTAAGTTATATCTGAGTATGAATAATCTATTTTGCACCACAAAATATGAACATATATGATGGTTATCAATTTTGGTACCGCCAACACCAACTCCCCTCTCCTCTTTTAAAATGACAAGGAGGATGTTATAAAGAGCTCTAAAAATTGCCAACTATAATATAAAATTAAGTACATAAAACTTACGGTTTAAACTCATAAACATTAGCACTGTAAAGGATTCAATAACTTCATTCTCAATAACATCAACCTTGCCAAACAAGATTATCCCAAATAGTCCTTAAATAATTTATAAGGTCTTGGTTAACAAGGGTCATATGCCTTTGGTATCACACAACATCATAATCTCTTAACTGTATCCCATCTAACTTCACTGCTCCTTTTTCAACACCATAAAATCTTTGTATAAAGATCACTTTTGGCTTCCCACAGTCACTCTTACCCACTAAACTTTCACTTGTGCCTACTTTCACTTCTAGGTTGAATTGTCATAGGATCGCGCTCTTGGACTAGTTTGTGTATGAAAAGTCTACCTTCTGTAGCTCTAATCTTCCTATGTGAGAATTCCTATAAGTCTACTTCAAAATTATCGTTTGCTTATGGAATATATATTAATTGAGACAGTAAGTAAAGTATGATAAAATCTAATCAATCTAATATTATATCACTAATAAATAAAGCCGGTCTCGCAGCCAGGCCACGAGACAGCGATACTTGGCATTCCGGTTTTTTACCAAGTGTCGAGCCATGTAGGCGACAAATATATATTATTGTAATTAGATTAGATGCCACACTAGATTAGATTGGATAGATTTATTTAGGATAATTTATATACATAAAATAATTTATAATTCTTCTGAAAAAATTATCTTTTAATTGACAATAGAATTTTACTTATAACAACGACACACCACATATTATAATTAATATGAATATCCAATAACAATAGAATTTTACTCTTATACGAATAACCATGTAATTATGATTATAAACATGACCATGTATGATCATCAATTTTTTTTAGTCTACCATTGATTTACCATTAAAGCTTTTAAATCAAGTATTCTTCATATTCAGTTGTAATACTTTTGTGTATGTTTGTGATTTTGTTAATGAACTTAAAGAAGTCAAAAACTACATATAGGACACAACAGCAACTGTACAATACAAGGGAATCTTGAAGTGAATTTAGATCAATGTTAGCAAGGTCTTAGAAATTTACGGGTTTTACGAAGCCTCCGTAGCCCATTTACTTTCCATATATTACAAATGGTCCAATTAGGCCAATAATATAATCTGTTGATTTTACGTCTTAAAAAAATTTACTTTTAACTTTTTATTTAATATATTATTTTCTTACCGACGCACTCTTCTTTTCACAAAATTATACTCCCTCTATTATTTTATGTCCCATTGAAATTTAGCACATAGGTCGACATAGAACTTTGTTAAACAATATCTATATATATATATACTTTTTTTAATGTATAATCATAGTTATTGGTCGTAGTAGACCAAGTGAATATAGTGCGACTTACAAAAATCGAAAATAATAACAAACGTGAAAAAAAGAATAATATAGGTAGTATTTTCACTCTCTTTTTGTATCTAACATTTAAAAAAAAATATATAAATACTAATAATAATTATATTATTGTTATTATTATAATTATAATAATAATACAAAACATGCCCATAAATAAGTACACTCTTTAAAGGGAATATGGGGCAACACCCGGGGCACGTACTAGTATATAAATAAAGTAAGCATTCGGAGAGCCAGGTCAAATTTGAAGGTCGACCCATCCTTGAGACCTCTGAAAAAGTCAGTGTAGGCTACCTCATCCGGCAACCCTTGTATCTGAATCCTCATCAGGTTGAACCGCCTGATGTAGGAACGGAGTCCCTCCTTCTCTCCCTTCTGTATGGTCCCTAAGTCAAGGGTTGTCTTTTTAGCATGGATATTCATGGCGAAATTGAAGGTGAACAGGTAAGCGAGGGTCTTGAAATTATTCACACAACCAGTCGGCAGGTTGCCGACCCATTATTGAGCAATGCCCTTCAGAGTGGCTGGGAAGCACTTGCACCAGGTGGGATCATCCAACCCTTGAAGGTACATCAGGTTGGTGAAAGCCATCAGATGGTCTTTTGGATTCGTAGTGCCATCATAGGCGCCTACTAATACATTCATCACTTCGGCCGGCTGGGCGGCCTCAACTATTTCTTTGGAGAAGGCGGACGGTTGTTCTCCAAGTCTAAGCAACCTAAGTTGCCAGTCCATAGGCTGGACGTTTCTTGCTGCCTGTCCTCCAAAAGGGGTAGGCTGCATGAAATATTGGTGTTGCGGCACGTATGGCTGGGGTGGCATATACGGAGCCGCCTGGTTTTTCTGGGAGCCGGACCGGTGGGAGGTACCGCCTGTCTGGCTCTCGTAGTTTGATTGTGAATACCTCATAGAGGTATTGTGCAAACTGTCTTGAAAATCGGAAGTAGAGGCCGACTTTGACAGTCAGTCACTCTTCTTCTGCTCTTGCAACAATCGAGCATCAGAGTACATTTTCTTTGACCCATCCGCTTGAACATTACGGATGGGCTTTCTCTTCCCTGGTGACGGGAAGTGATACTTCGTCCAATCGAGTACAGGCGGACGCCTAGCCCCAAGCTTTGGGTGAGGGGTTGCTGAACGATCAGTAACTGGTCTCATCCTTCCAGAGTGGGAAGACTTTCTAGCCGACTGTTACTTTGTGGGAACAGGCGTTTTCTTCTTAATCAACTCTTGGATCTCTCCCTTGAATCCCCTCATGAAGGTCATGAGTTCGTTCCTTGTAATGGGAGCAGATCCCTCAGCCGCCTGTTGTTGCTCAGGCGGTGGGCCGACTGATTAACTAGGACCAGCTTGGCAATCCTCCCGTTCCCTCTTCTCGGTGGGGCGGGTGCGTCGGGCCCTTAGGGTCCCGTCTGAGGCCGTGTGCGTCTCCACCTCGACCTCATTATCTGTATCTTGGTCTGAGTAGACCTGAGGGTCGTCCACTGGACGCCTCTCTTCTGGATTTGGTACAGACTGTGATTCCATCTCGAAAGTACTCTCCCCACAGACGGCGCCAAAATGTTTCGAGGTTTTTTGATATCCTGCGGGAGAGTTACAATTCCGGGACTGGTATCCTTGCGCTTGTACCTACAAAACAACGGAGACTCCTTGTGGTGGGAGCTCCGCCTCCGACGATCAAGTTAGTACTTGTTTTAGGAGTAATAAGTGCGGAAAAGTAAAGGTGGGAGATCTGGTTCCTCCAGGTGAGGAGTGATCAATGTGTTTTGGTTTCTCTAGGTCAGAGTAATTAATTGTTGAATCCCCCTTTAATGAGGATTAATTAATGTATTTATATGCCTTGGGAAGCGTGACAGTCCTAGGTTTAGGTCAACCTAGGGCTGATTGGGCTTCTTTCGGTGACTAGGCCTTGGTGGTCGTTCTGCCCATTTGGCATAGGGGAGGCCACGTGGCGTGGCACAACTGGTACAAGGTGGACTGATCAGCACTTGACACGTGGCAGGCTCCGACTGGTCCATGTGGCGGACACATGGCAAGGCCTGAATGGTCCACTTGTCAGATGATGACTGGCTGGGGAAAATCCCCTAATCAAATACAATGGCAAACAAAGTTTTAGGGTTTACCGCCTCACTATTTTACTATAATTTTGAAACCCCGCCCTAATTTAATAAGTAAAGATAAAAACAAAAAAAAAAAACCATTTCTGCTCATTATTCCCAAGGCGACTCCAAACACAAAACCCATGCCCATGTCTTCTGCAACTCCGATTTGCCGGCACCGAAGCCGGCCAATACCGGAACCGCCGTCGTCATAGTTTTACTACTTCTATGAAAAAAACCGGCGACAAATCGGAGTGGTGGGTTATTGACTGCGAGATGCACGAAATCGGAGAAAACGTCCCATTAAGAGAACGCTTTGTCATTCCCAGAGATAATCTTCCCAATAGATGTCGCAAGCAGCTTCGCACCAGTTTATGCGCCGCACTCGTCTTGTTCTTAAAGACTCTGTTCGTTTCACTTTCTCTATCTTCCTTAATTTGATTATCAATTTTAATTTTTGTTGTTGGAAATTGATTGAGTAAATTAGGGTTTATAAAGGGTGGTTGATTAATTTGGGGTTTGAATTGAATCGCAGCATGCACACCAACTGTTTGCTAAAATTCCCAAGAGGAATGGTTGTAGAGCATTTCTGATTATTCCTGCTAATTTTTTAATTAACTGCAAAATACACTAGTAGAAAAAATGAATTAAGCACCGCACATTTCACACCGGTTCTTAAAAACCGGTGGCAAAAGAAATGGGCGGGATAGGGGAAATGACTTTTTACACCGGTTCCTATTAAATTGTTGCGAAATGTTTTAGAAAAAAACCGGTTTATGGCTCTCTTTCTTCTACTTTCTTTTTTCCCCCCTGCTTTCCCTCTTCGTTCTGCTCTTCTCTTTCCCTCTCGTTTTCGCATCTCCTTCTCTTCCCGAACTCCACTCCATTGAAGCAGCTCGCTCTCTCTCCGTTGAAGTGGTTTACGAGCTTTCTCACTCCATTGAAGCAGCGCCTCCTTGTCTCTCCATATCTCTGGCCTCAATTGAACTCGTGCTCTATATTCTCCATTGAAGCCGATTCTGAGCTTTCTCACCTCCATTGAAGCAGCTTCGAGGTAATGTGGTCTTCTTAATCTACCGAATTCCTTCGCAATCTAGGGTTTGTCGTTAATTTGGTTTTCAATTTCGTAATTTTAGGGTTCTGGTTTTATTTCTATTTTTTGTCGAACAAAATACGTAGAAGGAGAGAGTAGGTACTACCCGTCGCCACTCACCCTTCGCCGGCCACCCTCCGTTCCCCTCAGCCGTCCTTCGTGCGTCGGCTATCGACCACCAGGTAATGGTTTTTCCTTTTTTTTCGTTTTTAAAAAAACATTGCTAACCCTAACCCTTAATTGGTCTTATGTTTGTATTCTATAGTTAGTACTTGGTTCTTGTGCTGCTTCATTGATCAGTGCTAACCCTAACCCTAACCCTCAATTGCTTTGGTTGATCAGTGCAAACTATAGTTAGTACTTGGTTCTTGTGCTGCTTCATTGATTCTATTAATTTTAAATTGTCTCAAGGATGACAATGCAGTCATATCTCTTTCCATGGTGTTGTTTAATCTTTCCATTTCAGCTTTTCCCTGATCCATATATTCTTGAAACGTACCTTATGTTGTGAAATCTTCGTGCTGTGCTTTTTACTCATCCAGGGATTATAACTCTGATGTACCCTTTGCATCTTCCTCAAATCATATAGTAACTTCAGTATCATGGCGTTTGTTGTTATCTTGCCCATCTTAGACACAACAATAACTATCCCTCCAAATAGGTGTAGTTGTAGTAGTTAATTTAAGCGTAAAAAATTAAAAATCAACTTAGGACACACCTGAGACCCCAAATGAACCAAGCTGACAAGTTATCCTCCTCCTTTCCCCACCTCTCCCCCCCCCCCCCCCACCCCCAACACACACACACACAACCAATGACAGTGGAAGAGGCAAGGAAACTGATATGAACTACTCCCTCTGTCTCTAAAAATTTTTTTTTTTTTTTTTTGTGTGAGACAATCACCATCCAAACAAGAAAACTTTTAGAGACGGAATGAGTAATTAACTTAACATGATTTTTTTTTTTGGTTGTGAAATAAACTTGGGTAGCCTTTGTGGAAGCAATCTGGGCTATACAGGTGAGAACTGGTGTTGCCGTTTCTCCATTTTGTGATAAAAGCCAGAAATCCTGGTATTTTTTAGTCATTTGTAAGTTATGATTCATCTGTGTGCTTTGCCTGCTCATCCTGCATGCACCAACCTTGGCCAGTGTTTCTGAACATTATTTTTTTCAACCCAATTATTCCTTTTTAGTTTTTTATGGTAGGAATCTCTTGCATTTTCCAATCATGGTGTACAGATCATGAATATCTTCTCTGTTTTTCTGCAGAAAAGCTCATTGCAGGTTGCTAGTCACTCATGATGATTATAGCATGATGACTAAGCTACCACAGAATAAGACATCAGTGGTGACAATATTAAGAAACCCAGTTGATCGTGTATTCAGTACATATTTATTTTCGATTGCAGTAGCTGCTAGATTTTTGGTGCATCCTAACTTAACTTCTGCCATACAAATGGCTGGACGTTTGTGAAAGAAAAACAATGTGGTTAGCACGCTGAATATATGGCCATGAAAGTATTTGGTTCCATGGATGAGAGAAGACCTATTTGCTAGGGTATGGCTTACTATTGTTTCTTCTCTTATTTTTATTAATTGGTGAAAATTCATATGTATGGTGTCAAGGTTTTTACAATTAATTTTATATTACCACGTTGCTTTCATTGCTTCAACTGCATTCATGTCATTTAGAGCTCTTAATTTGCATAGGGAGTTAAGGGATCTTGCTGGAAAGTTAATAAAAGATCACAAGTACAGTGCTAATACTTATATCAATAAATTAGAGGAGAAAATAACCTTAGTAAAAATCATAAATTTCTAAAAATACCTGTTTTTGTTGTCCATTGATGGTTTGATTTGGTATATTATCTTTTCTATAAGCTTTTATCGTGCATATTCCCAATCATGCTGTCTTCCTAGTGTCCACTATGCCTGCCACGGCGACCACTTTTTTAATTTCACTATATAAGTATCTTGTTAGAAACATATAGTGTTTGGTTGGGTGTTAACCATTTTCTTTTATTTGGTATCTAAAGGGATGAAAAGCAATTTTCCCAAGGGTGGAAATCAATTTCCTTTTGTAAGTAATTAACACATTTTCCACTCTACTCCTTGTCTTTCTTATTCTCTCCTCCCATCCATTCTCTCCCTTTTACTTTTCTCCATAACTTTTCTGGTATGCTACCAAACAAAGGAGAGTTTATCAGGTTTATTTGCATTAATATACTTCGTACAAAGGAGTGTTAAATGAGCACCGAAATAGGTAGTTTAATCGCTACTCTTTCTTGATTTTTATGTTTAATTTGTTAAATTTTTCTATTTTTATTTGCGTATTTCTTGATTAAATTTGTAGATTGAAGCAGATTTATGGTTTGGTATATACCTGTGTTTGTTGATTCTGGGGGATTTGAAGAGTGCATGAATTTCCTGGAGTACCTGAATGGCTGTAATCACAACTGGGATAAAGCTTTCATTGGCTAAAATGCCATTTCAGAGAGGCAGAAAGATTTTGGTTATTGGAATCTAGTCAAGGTATTGGGACTTTTTTTGTTCTGCTTGATATTTCAGATCAGTTCCCACTATGTTATGCTAAAGCATCTATTATTTGCCAAGTTTGGCATTTCTGATGAAGTTTTATTAGCCTGTCTCATGGCCTTTTATTCCTGTTGTGTTATTGACGATAATCTTATAATAATAATACTAGGTATTAGGACAGAAGCAATAAAGAGTTATTACCTGGTCAGTCCTCCTTCAACAGGGATATTTGATGTATGGTGCTTGCACATACCTGTCAAGGATCAAACTCCATTCCAAGGTCTACCTTTTTTTGATTTTGCACCGTGAATGTATATTAGTTATATACATATATGCAGAGTACATTGTCTGTTTTTTTTATTTTTTGTAACATGTTATCCTGTTTTGTATTATACTTTGTAATAAACTACATGATTATGCAATGACATCTATTCAACAAATGTAGTGTATATTCATGTTGAACACATTTTACATAAATATAATGTGTTGTTGCAATAACCCCAATGTTTGTGATCATAAGACAATATTGTTTTACTACTGTTATCATTCTTTCTTCATTTAGAACTGGTATTGCTGGTTGAGGAAACTGTAAGGTCAGAGAATCTTCGGTCCCATGAGAAACCCATTTATCTTGTTGGAGAATCAATTGGAGGATGTATTGCATTGGCTGTGGCTGCTCGAAATCCTGATATTGATCTTGTACTCATTTTGGCTAATCCTGGTAAGAATTATTGTTTGTATATTGCAAATTTTTCTCTATGATTTCCCAAGTAAATTTTCTTGAGCTGAACTACCATCAATCTTTTATTCCCATGTTTTTTTTTATATTTTTTTTTATAGAAAATATACCATTAAGTTGTATCAGCTAAACTTTAGCTAAATGTGATGCATTCGGTGAATCTCATTAGACGTTTAGAATGATATGATTTTATCGATACCCGGTTCCACGATTTGCAAAAATTCTCTATTGTTGAAGTGAAATGCCTAGGACGTACAAAGACCATTGGTTAATGAGGAATATCTAGGAGCATATGTAAGCTAGATTAAAAATATGTTAAAACATCTCTCAAATCCTGGAGATTAGAACATTGATTTTGTTATCTCTGGTTATTTGATCCTATCAAAATTGTATTCAACATTGTTAGTCTACAATCACTTGTTAGTTTGCCTCTCCATAAAATCCAAACTTTACTGTGGAAATGAAAAAGAATTTAACTCTCATGTTTATTCAGTAACCTTGCTTGAACTAGTGATAATATTTTGTTGATTGGTCTTGCAGCTACATGTTATAGCAAATCAAACCTGCTACTTCTATTTCCTTTACTAAAAATCATCCCCAATGACATTTCTCTGATCAGTATATGAAACATGCTCGGCCTTATGACAGGTTTAGTTTCCTTTTCATTTATCTGATTTTGTGTTGCTTCATATCTATTTCCTAATCTTCCTAGGTTCTTTTAATCAAAGGCTCTTTGATACCTCTTTAGCAGAGCAGGTGTAGGGTCCTAATTAATTTGTGCTCTAAGTTACTCATAATTAATGGTCCTACACCATAGATATAAGTGTGAGGGTGAAAATGCAATGTCCTCCTTTGATGACTGTAGTGCTCCACATATTCAAATTCTGTCATCAACAAAACTTTAATTTATTTATTTTGGTTAAAATCCATTTTAAGGTGTGTAATTTTTGCCTATTGTTTAGTTTTTATTCTATTTTTTTTGTTGGTGGTGTGGGTTTCTTGTTGGTGGTGTGTGTTTCTGTCTTGTTCAAGCTGTTAGGATGCCTGGTCTGAACTTCTGGCTTTCTGTTTGCTGTCTGCTGTTCTGCCTGCTGTCTGCTGTTGTGGTTGCGCTGCTGTGTTCAGTGCTGCTTTGCTGACAAGCTGCTATACGTTTGTGCTGCTGTTGCACTGTTGTGCTGTTGGTCTGCTGGTTTTGACAGCTCGTGTTGGGTCTGGTGCTGGCTGCCTAACCATGGTGTAGCTTCTGGTTGCTGTTTTGCTTGTAGCTGCTGTTGGGGTTGCTGGTTGTGGTGTGGTTGTGCTGTCTCATTCTCTGTTGCAGGCTTGGGGTCAGTGGGAGCTGCTGCAGTCTGCTGTTTTTTTTTTTGCCTTAGTTTTTATTCTATTTATCAAAGATGTAGTGCTCTTTATCAGATGTATGACACAAATATTGAAGAAAATATGTGTTTTATGTATATTATGAACTAATTAACCAGCGTAAACAATTTAAGTGCAAAAAACAAAAAAATAAATAAAAATTGGGGCACTTTTGGCTATACGTTTGTGCTGCTGTTGCACTGTTGTGCTGTTGGTCTGCTGGTTTTGACAGCTCGTGTTGGGTCTGGTGCTGGCTGCCTAACCATGGTGTAGCTTCTGGTTGCTGTTTTGCTTGTAGCTGCTGTTGGGGTTGCTGGTTGTGGTGTGGTTGTGCTGTCTCATTCTCTGTTGCAGGCTTGGGGTCAGTGGGAGCTGCTGCAGTCTGCTGTTTTTTTTTTTGCCTTAGTTTTTATTCTATTTATCAAAGATGTAGTGCTCTTTATCAGATGTATGACACAAATATTGAAGAAAATATGTGTTTTATGTATATTATGAACTAATTAACCAGCGTAAACAATTTAAGTGCAAAAAACAAAAAAATAAATAAAAATTGGGGCACTTTTGGCTATACGTTTGTGCTGCTGTTGCACTGTTGTGCTGTTGGTCTGCTGGTTTTGACAGCTCGTGTTGGGTCTGGTGCTGGCTGCCTAACCATGGTGTAGCTTTTGGTTGCTGTTTTGCTTGTAGCTGCTGTTGGGGTTGCTGGTTGTGGTGTGGTTGTGCTGTCTCATTCTCTGTTGCAGGCTTGGGGTCAGTGGGAGCTGCTGCAGTCTGCTGTTTTTTTTTTGCCTTAGTTTTTATTCTATTTATCAAAGATGTAGTGCTCTTTATCAGATGTATGACACAAATATTGAAGAAAATATGTGTTTTATGTATATTATGAACTAATTAACCAGCGTAAACAATTTAAGTGCAAAAAACAAAAAAATAAATAAAAATTGGGGCACTTTTGGCTATACGTTTGTGCTGCTGTTGCACTGTTGTGCTGTTGGTCTGCTGGTTTTGACAGCTCGTGTTGGGTCTGGTGCTGGCTGCCTAACCATGGTGTAGCTTCTGGTTGCTGTTTTGCTTGTAGCTGCTGTTGGGGTTGCTGGTTGTGGTGTGGTTGTGCTGTCTCATTCTCTGTTGCAGGCTTGGGGTCAGTGGGAGCTGCTGCAGTCTGCTGTTTTTTTTTTGCCTTAGTTTTTATTCTATTTATCAAAGATGTAGTGCTCTTTATCAGATGTATGACACAAATATTGAAGAAAATATGTGTTTTATGTATATTATGAACTAATTAACCAGCGTAAACAATTTAAGTGCAAAAAACAAAAAAATTGGGGCACTTTTGGCACCGGCTTTGGGAAAGAACCGGTGCTAAAAGGTTTTTTAAAAAATATTTTGGGGACTTTTAGCACCGGTTTTCAGAACTGGTGCAAAAAGTCATTTTTCCCACCGGTTTTGAACCGGTGCGAAATCTATGGGGTTTTAGCACCCCCCAAAACCGGTGCGAAATGGGGGGTTTGAACCGGTGGGGAATTCGTATTTTTGCCTAGTGATAAGTGTCCTGTATTAGGTTTTGTAGGAGAATCTTAGTTTGACATCAATTAGTTTATTTTTGGTTGTTGTGATTTTGAAAAATGTTTAAATTTCTGCCCTTCAATTTGTGTTTTCATTTTTCCTGATTCTGCTCAAATTTCTTATTCTTTACCATTCAATTGATCTGAATGTATTGGACACATTGCTATTAGGTGTTCAATTCTTCACAATGTCGTGTGTATATGTTGAAAAATTAGATCATGTTGCAGCCTTCACAATTTTTCAACACTAATTTCTAAATGACAACCTAATCTAAGTAACCCCACTAGAGAGATAAGAACCAGGATTAATTTCCTCAGAGATTACCAAGCAAGGAAGAAGGGAATTCTTAAGTAACTAACGAAAGCTAAGCAAACTGTAGAGTGGGAGGAATGTAGAGGGAAATCTGGGTTTATACGATTTTAGAGAATAACTATTTGGAAAAGTTTTTAGGAAAAATATAAGAGAAAAACTGAAAAACCAAGTAGAATTCCGAAATTCGAAATTTGTTATGTATGGTGAGGTGAAATTGATCTCTCTGTTTCTTGCAATATATTATGGGAGAAAAAAATGACTTGTTATGCAAATGTTTTTCTGTTGTTCAAAAGTACATTTTGTATATCATCATGTCTTAAAACCAGTAACTTTGCTTGAATCAATGTCCTTAAAATTATAGATTGGGGTGTTTTATGATCAAGCCCAATGTATGCTTATGATGCAGTTTGTTGTTTTTCCTTAAATAATACCGTAGAGGTTTATGGTCAATTGGAAACATTATGACATGACAAAATTTAGTGACCACGCAATAATTTAACACACCTAATAGTAGTCTTACATGGACTTATACAAGCATGAAGCATCAGTAGCAAAACTTAAAGGCACTAGTAAGCTACAAAGAAAACGGTTTCAGACAGGATTTAGGATTACAAACACTTAATAAGTTGATAGCTATTTCAAGTATCAGCAGGCTTTGAATCTTTAGCTTTCTTGGCAGAAGGTTTCCTCTCGATATCCTTTGGTATGGTCTCCTCCACCACCTTTGGTACCGTAAAGCTGAATTCAGTAACAGATACACCTTTTATCTTGGGATTTTCTTCTAGGTACTTGGCCACCTCGGTACTAGACCTAACTTTCTTCCCAGTGGGGGTCACATAATGAGCGTCCAATTTAGAAAAATCCCTTCTAAGAACCAGCTTTCTCTTAAAACCAACTGGGGTCCTTGGGATGTTAGGCTTGTCAATCACCCAGGTCCTGGTAGCATCCTTTTCAATATCAGCTGGATCAGCGCATGAGACGTCAGGCTTCTTATTGCATGTGAAAGGTTCCAACAATGAAAGGTTCCTCCTGATCACCTCACACTCTTCTTCGTTGGATATGAGTCTCCTTTTAAAGCATTCACCGCATTGCACAGCATAAAGCCCAATGGTATTCGTCCCTGTCTGGGGTTTCTGCAATGTGTAATTAATTAATTAATTAATTGGAGAGTCCATTGAAGACAGTGATTGGTTTGGACACAATGATTGGGGTTTCTTGAAATTACTTTAGCATAGCAAAATATATACAAAGTATATGAGAAGGAAAATGTATTCTAAGATATCTTGCTACCCCACTCATTGTAATTAAAATCCTTATTTAAATCTTAGAATCTTACGATTTTACGATTTATGTATGTCATACGATTCGATTTGCGATTTTACCCGATTTTACATATTTCTCTTAACTCGCGAAATCCTTATAAGTTTAGAACATGCCTATATAATTATTTATAAATATATTTGATTAAATTTAGATATGACGTCTTGATTATGCCTGTCAGTAGAATCTTACGATTTTACGATTCGATTATGAGAACCCCTTCCGATACAAAGCAGAATCCCGATTTTAATAATTTTGACCCCACTCCAAGTTAAACTCGAGTTTGAGCTGCCTCATTTAGCTATCACACATACTTGACAATTTATTTTTCACCTACAAATTGACGAAGTAGCAATAGCAAACTGACAAAATGAGTGCTCAGTTCACGAGCTTGAAGCTCTCCAGCCAAAAATACGATGCTCCCCCATAAGATTAAGTTCTACTCGTATTTACCCCAAAATAAGTGATCCTTATTTTTTAGACTTGTTTAAGGTTAAGTTCTGCATTTTATTGAATGGGTATTAGTCTGTCTTGGGAAACCTTTAACGTGTCAATATATCCAGTATTAGCCATGATTTGTGATCAAGGGAGCTCTGATCATGCTTCAGCTTAATTCGTCTCATTAACTCTGATCTATAAATAACATATATTGTACTATTTGTTTTTGTCGCAAACAATGGTGAATTATATTTTAAGATCACTAAAAGGTGAAAAAGGCAATATCATTCTTGTTGTGACATGGCACAAACTTCTGGTTAAAATTAAGTTTAACAGGAATAATTCAACATTTTGTCCGTTCTCCCATATTAATCCCACCTTTTGATTATTTCTCATTAATCCAACCTGCCTTCCTTTTTCTCACAGCAACCCTTGAAGGTTGACTACCGGTACAACCGGTTACAAGTGCTACGTGGCACTTCCTAATTGGTTTTTTGTTTTTTTTTTTATTTACTTTTTTTTTTTAATTACGAGAAGAATAAAAGAAATAAAAAGAAAATAAGAAAGTAAATAAATAAAGAAAAAGAAACAAAAAAAATAAAAAGACCAGCCATTGAGCCATACAAACCGACCTTCCTCTTCCTTAATCATGTTGGCTGCTCACATTCACCATCAACATCACATAATCATAATCGAATTGGAGGTGGAGGCCAGCACTGCTGTCGGTGATGGCTATGAGGCTGTTTCGCCGGCTAACGGTGTAGTTGTCGTTGTAGTGCCGGTGAGGGGTCTTGTACTCACCCTACCCCTACCCCCACCAGCCCCGAAACCCTCACCCTACCCCCTCCACCAATCTGAACCCCTACCTCACTTCTCCCTAAGCTTTGAAAACTGGTGATTTTTGGGGTGACGGGTGGTTTTTGGGGTTGGAGGAGGAAGAAGGAGGGGGAGCGGTAGCGGTAGTGGTAGCGGCAGGGAGTGGTGGCGGTTCAAGTGCGTGGCACTGCTGGTAGTTCGTCAGCGCGGAGGAGAGAGAAGGGAGTTTCGTGGGTGGTCGTGAACAGCAGCGTGGGGCTGCGGTTGGTCGGAGGGGGCAGGTGATCGAGGCGATGGTGGCGACGACGGAGCTGCGGTGTTGGGCGAAGAAAATGGGTAGAGCTGCCATGGCCTAGGTTTTCATGGTGGGTGTAAGGTGGCTGAAGGGAGGAGGGGGTGTCTGAGATGATTTTTTTTTTCCTTTTATACATATTAAAATTAAAAAAAAAGTAAATTAAAAAAAAAACAAAAAACCAATTAGGAAGTGCCACGTCAGCATTTATTACCGGTTGAAACGGTCAGTGACCTGTAAGGGTTGCTGTGAGTAAAAGGGGGGCAAATGTTGGATTAACGAGGAATAATCAAAAAGTGGGATTGATATGAGAGAACGGAAAAAAAATTTGAATTATTGATGTTAAATTTTCCTAAAATTAATATACTTATATGCCTTCTGAGAGAGAGTTAATCCTACTTTTTACTAGCATGCACTGACATAATCTACCATTTGACAAAGTAGTAAACTTTGCCTCCCTTCCCTGGCTCCACGAAAAGCTTCCCAAGACTACTTCATTCTCAATCAAGTAGATTTAATATGTGAGGCAAATAGCACTTAGTTTTCCATGAGAATAGGATTCAGGAATACAAAAGACTGATCTAATCACCTGAACCTTAAAATAATGCCTCTAACTGTTAACATGGAAACCCGGCCTAAGTGGTAAAACCAGACACAAACAATTTACTGTCAAAATCTTGATATTTTTCAAATATGTATCTGAGAGATAGGTTTCTCGCTTATGTGATAATACCATGTTGCATTTCAATAAACTTATCAATTAGTTACGATAGTATATGAGAAAATAAAGAATGCACTAAACTAGATTAGCAGAGTCCATTCAAAAAAAAAAAAAAAATGATTAGCAGAGTAATAAGACATCTTTTAAGTTATAAGTCAACAGAAACTTAATTAGACTAGCTAATACACATGTCAAGGCTTTACATGTTTCCCTAAGAGTCTCATTGAAACTCAAGAATAAATAGAGAAATTTGGTGATACAAATATGTACAATAAGTAGAAATGTCAAAATGGTTTGACAATTCGGTTTGAAACGGATCGGTTTGAAATTGGTTTAATTGGCCAACGGGTCGATATGATTTCGGTTCAGTTAAAATTATTTGCGGTTTGATTTATATTGTTTAAATTTGTTTTGGCCAGTAAACGATTCAGTAAGTAAAGAAGTCAATGCAAACGGGTTGCGGTTTGTAAACGGATCGGTGTAAATAGTTTTTAAATGGGTTTAGACAGTTTCGAGTTAGAAAAGGGTCGAGTTAACAATGGTTTGGTTTTTTTTCAATTCGGTTTGTTAACGGATTCGGTTCTTATACGGTTTAGCATTATTTGAATTAGTTCGATTTTGGGTTACTAAAATACGGTTCGGTTCAGTTTTCGGTTTAAAAAATCTATTTTTAATCGCCCCCGGTTCTCATTTGGGTCGGTCGTTTTCGGGCAGTTAAATGGTTTCGGTTTCAAATTTTGACCTTATACTGGTTAGCAAGTTTCATTTTATATCAAGCCGGGACTTCATCATTTCATTTATAGGCATCATATTATATACAAATTCTCATTGATTTTATATATACATATCATGTTATATGTTTCAATTTTAGTCATACGTATCTTGCTAGTTTATTACGAAGTAGCTTATAAAAATTTAGTAATATTCTTTATTATAATTTTTGTATTAACTTTAATTTGCTTTTGAAAAATCAAAAAATGCAATCATCTCATTCTAAAATTTTTGACAATAATGCATCATAAGAATTTGATTGGGCCAGCTTTTGTACAATATAATTCCGAACAAAAAATGAAGTACTTTCGTTTAAAGACAAGACGAAGATTAACTTTGGTTAATCCATAATTTCATATAAAAGTAAGGGAAAACAATAATGTACTCCATAGTAAACATGTGAACATAATTAGATTTCATTTAAAATTCATTTTAACGTGATTCAAATCTTCTCTTTATAGTAAGTGGTTTGTAAACGGTTTGATTAATAAGCGGTTCGGTTCATAAACGGTTAGGTTTGTAAGTGGTTCGGTTTATGAACGGTTTAATGCAAACGGGTTGTCGTTTGTTAACGGTTCGATGTAAACAGTTTAAATCCTGGTTCAAACGGTTTCGGGTTATAAACGATTCGATTTTTCGGTTCGGTTTCATTTCAGTTCGGTTTAGAACTGAAACGGTTCGTTGACGGGTTCGGTTCTTATACGGTTTAACATTATTCGGATCGGTTCGGTTTGAGTTTACTAAAATATGGTTCGGGTCGGTTTTCGGTTTCACAAATCGGTTTTTAATCGGTTCGGTTCTCATTAGGTTGATTGGTTTCAGGCAGTTAAAAGTTTTCGGTTTGAAATTTGACAGAGCTAACAATAAGACATGATCTATTTGGCAAAAATAACAATTGATTATGGCCAAATCTAATTAGTTTCCTTAACTTAAGTCAATGTTTAATTTGAAGACTGGCAAAGTTTAAGAAAGTATTTCTCTTGTGCTTGAGTTGCATGTATGTCCCCATGCTTCACCATCTTTTCCATCCTTAATAAAGGTGATGGTAGTCATAATTTTTTATGGTGTTGAGCCGATGAGCCACCATAAGGGTGGTTTGGCCAGCCATAATTCACCTTACCAATTAAACTAATGAGCATCATCACTTTAGCAAATTCAATAATTTCATTCTTAATAGCATCAACTTTGCCAAGAACAATATTATCCCAAATGATTATTGAATAAAATTATAGTCTTAGATAGCAAGGGTCATATGTCTTTGGTATCACACCATATCAAAATCTCTTAAGTCCATCCCATCTAACTTCACTGCTCCTCTATCAATACCATAAAATCTTTGTTAAGATCAATATTGGCTTCCCACACTCACTCTTCCCCACTGGCAGACTTATTATAGATAAAATTATGCTTCTATTGTTTGTTATCATTATAAAACAAATTATTTTCTTAAACACAATATCGGAGTGGCAAGGTTTAATGTGATTATTGGAGAGATGTTTGCCATTTTCAAAGCAAGAAAATATGATAGGTTATAATTTCATTAAATCTTACTTTTTAATCAAAAGAATGAAAAAGGTTGTATTTCTTTACCATATATTTATTTTTTTATAGGTTATCTGGTGCATTTATGAGGATTAAATAGGGATGTGTTTCTTTAAAGATGCACCTTGAACCTTATGTAAAAGTTATTTCATCTGCCTTCACAACATTTAATTTAATAGTATTATTGCTAATTAATTGATTATACATATTTTCTTATCAACTTATCTTTATGTATGCTTAATTGTTGCGTTTGTTAAGAGAATGCCCTCCAGATGAGGCATCAAATAATCATGTAGGTGTCGAAGGCGTCAATGGCAACGATGATATGAGCCATTGATGCTTGCATATCTGAATAGCATCTTATCATGAGAAGTTACAATGAATTAAAGTTTCCATTTGAAGTTATTAGATATCTGTTTTTTTTTTTTTTTTTGTTTAGTCTATGTTTTCTTTAAGTTTTGTTGTTAGTTAGTGGCTTATTATATTAAATGGTTTCAACTACATAATACTTAGTTATGAAATTCTATTTGAACTAATAATTAATTCATGTTTCTTTACATTAAACAGTATTACCTTATATTAGAATTTGGATGGTATATAAATTTCTCTTGTAATGATATAAGGGTAAGTGATTGGGGAATATTCAAGTTTATCTTGATCTCCTATAGAAAATCAAGTATCGTATACACATTATATGAAGAAAAGATATGGATTAAAATAGATTAGTAAAGTAATAAGACCTCTAGTAAGTTGTACGTTAGCAAAAACCTAGACTAACACACCTATTATGGCTTTACATTTTTTCCTAAGAATCCTAGACCCATTAAAATTTATGATACATGGAGAAATTTGGTATTACAAATATGTAATGTAGGACATGATCTATTTCGAGAAAAAAATACTTGATTCTGGCCTAATCTAATTATTTTCCATACCTAATCAAGGTTTGAAAACTGGCAAAGCTAAGTTTGAGAAAGTGCCTCTCTTGTGCTT